GCGTCGTGCTGGACAAGACATCCTCAGTACTTTTTCTGTACTTCCTCTGCTTCATTTGTGTCTCCAAGTTAAGACGCATGGATAAAAGTGGGCCAAACGCGTTGTCCTTATTTGCTCGGTGGCATAGATGGCAGGCTTCCTTCTAATCAATAAGATTCACTATCATGAAGACTCGTGCGATCGGGAAAGTCCACTTGAGGGATGGTTGCGATTAAAGCTTGCCACACGGATGAATGTTGCCGCTCTCTTGTTAACCCCATTTAGTATTGAACCACCTACCCTAACATGTGCCTTCCAACAGTATTCTGCCAAAAGAAATGCTTTAGAAACCATCAATTTTACTATTAGCATGAGTTGAAATCATTTGCGCCGTTGATGCACCTTTTGTAGAATACTCTCAGCATGACAGTCGGCGACCGCAGCCAAACCGGGTGAGAAACCAGTTGAAATCCCAGCAGTTGCAGAGATTTTTGAATCGGATTCGGTCAGAAAGGGTGGTCTGGATGTCCTAGTACTGAGTATAGTTGCAGATCACTAGCGGAAGTTGTGCAAGATGTATGAATATCTATCAGTTTGTTTATCACCCGTAACTGTGTAGGCTCGTAATGAGTCTTCTATCCAAAGAACAATTTAACCGAACCTAAACCACCGAGCCAGACAGTATCAAAGTTGAAATTTCTGCAATTGATCCAACCTTCATCCTGAATATCACAGACCCTGATAAACCCACTCCGTTGTAAAACTATCTTTCTACCCTTTCTGGATCACTGCTGCGATCGCAGTAAAGGTTCGATGCCAGGTGATTATTGCAGACTACAGGGAATTCCGGCTGGTGGATTCTGCAAGATAAGTTTATTCGTGGAAATGTTCGAGAAATGGTGGTGCTGAAGACGGGTCGCAGTAAGATTGACTAATCCCATAAGTAGGATACCCACCATATGGGTCATTTTCTCAAGCGCGTGTTGTTGCTCCTCGTTGCCGGGGTAGAGACTCTTTAAGGTCTAACGCTCTGTTCGTTGTCCCGGGGCGTAATTCGGCCTAATCGTCATCCTTGAGGTCTCAAACAGCCTCACAATGTTTGTCTGAGTTCTCTGCATTCAAATGACAGCTGATGGGGTTTCGGAACCGTCATCTTTATGGATCAGTTTCCGATAAGTTGGTCATTGTCCAAATGCCATCCAGTCGGTACTACCATAGTGAAAGGACTGTGCAGGTGCATCTATGCAGTGGTAACTGAATCAGACAGACATCACAAATTATGCCCTCGGGCAATGTGATTTAATCGGTGATTAGATACGAAGATTTTCCACGACATCCCTATTAGTCTAGTATATTGCAACGTTTGTAGGGTATCTTCGTTAATATTTGGCGAGCAACTATACTGTATGTCGCCATTCAACTCTATCAGTAACGGCACTTACACGTCCTATTACACACCGGGCAAAGCATAAGCTGTGTTTAGTCTGTCTTGTAAGTGGTCCTCCTGTGCACTGCAATTGGTGAACTCCGTTGCCGTGATTGTTGAAAAAACCAGGAGTTCCATTATGACAACCAACATAATCTGGATAAACCTTTTCCAGTGTTAACCCAAACCGCTTCTGACTACTCAAAAACTGCAATAAAGTGTGATTTCATCGATGGTGTGGATTCATGTCAATTGCAATGCGATTCTCATCTACCTTACACGGTCACATCGAACTATCTATTCACATGCAAGAAGGTCGATAATTGTGTCGTTCTGATTGGTGGACGTCGGCTACAATAAAGCAGTCTAGACTAGAGACAATGATCCAGGGTAGGAGGATGAACAGGATGGATTATGTGGAGAGAGGACACAAATGAGACAGAATAAGGTGTGATAGAAACAAGAGTAAGTAAAACAAAGTGCCACTACGCCTTACGAACAAGCCAGAACAGGCTAAAATAGAAAACTGAGGCTGTATTCATAAAAAAATGGACCATCTACATCGACAGCACAATGTCTTTTAGTGAAGAAGAGTAAAAGTCGATGGGCAAGAGACCTAGTGCCAACCTATCACAGTAATTCCGAAGTGCCCACATCTCCGAATAACGATTCACACAATCTGATGCACACGTACCTTGAGTTTCAGGGGAATTACGCATCGGTTTCTCAAATTAGCAAAGGCGACCTGAGTCCCAGAGTTTCGTGCATTGACCTCATCTGTAACACCAAAGTCGGGACTAGTACAGTCTCAAAGATAAGTAAAATGCCCCTAAACTTTAGGTGCTCCTTCTTGGATTGCAAGTGGCGTGTTCATTGACTCCATGCTAGTCTCAGAAGTTGTGGGTTCTGGGTACACGCCAAAGGAGTGAGTAGTTGTACCTTCTCCTTTTAGATGACAACGACGTTTGCATAATTGGGCTCGACAAGGTTTTCGTCGGCAGCAATATGGCACCAGGGTTTTTTAAAACCTTCCAGCGTTCGTCTCATTACCTTGTCGATCACAGAACTAAATAGGAGCAGAAAG